ACTGTTACAGCCAGAATAAAAGCTGTTTTACTCTCTAGACCATGGCTGGTTTATCCACCAAACCCACAGCAGTGAAACATGGTCAGAAGTTTCCCAGTTTCTTGGGAATCTATCTGTTTCCAAACTTATTACTTTGCCTTTGAGACTCTCGATTGAATTCTGCAGTTAAAAAGGTGTTTCTCAGAGCCCTGAGCACGTATTTACACACATAAAACCCACCCATCCTTACCAGTACATCCCAGCCATCTTTTGGAGATCCAACTCCAGGGACTGCAGAGCCAAGTACATTTTAGTTTTAAGTTTGCTGAGGAAAAAGAAAAAAACAACAACAGAACAACATAAGAAAACTTGAACTGCTCAGTGCACACCTACAGCTTGGAAGTTTGTTTCCTTTAAATATGAGGATACAAATAAATGTAGTCTAGGCCTGTTTGATTTTTATGTGTGGGGATATAAATACATTCCAGACTCACTTCTCTCCTGGCAGCTTGTACAGGTTCACCAGCCCCCTCAGATGTTTAGAAAACTCATCAAAATTTTTCTCTCTGAAAGGAAAAGGGAGGGAAAGTTACCAAGTATTCAAATTTGTAACAGAGAAGGGGTTTTTACAGGAAGTGTTGTTAATACAAAGTCGCTTCACAAGAGACTTTTGCTACACAAAAGCTACAAAATGTGTCCTTTAAACGATTCAGTGTTAAAGCCGTGCTGTGGCTTTGGAGACACCTTTGCAGAGCAACCAGAATCACAAGGATCTGAACCAAAGCCAGCAAACCCTCTGGGGAAGGGGACAGACTTGTGGGGAAGGAGCAGTTACGAAACACTTTGTGTTTCCAGACAGAAAATACCATCAGATCACCCCAGCAAAGAGAAACCTGTCAGAAAACACAACCAGTAAACCTTGTTACTCACCTCAGGTGCTGCACCAGTTCTGGACAGCTCTGGAAAGGAAAGAACAAGGATATCAGTGTGGGATGCAGCGATTTCAGGCTTTGTGCAGCACAGCAACTGGAAAATATCAGGAGAGTAAAATTCCTGAGCACCAGCTCTTCCTGTGGAACAGCCCAATGCTCACAACCACACCTTGCTCTGGTTCTAGTTCTGCTCGTTAAGCCCCACTGGGACAAACTCAAGCAAGAATATTTCCTCTTAAATGACTCACCTGAAAAAAACTTTTCAAATTGTGAAGCCTTAAGTTGGAAACCTATGACTTTATGCAGATATCAAAGATGGCCTGTCATCAGAAGAGGCCAATTTAATACCAAGTTCAAACTCTCCTCCACGTGCAGAAGGGCAATAAAGCCATTTTCTTCCAGTTTCTTCCAGCATTCCCCCTTTTAGTACTTTCCATTCCATTAATTTCCCTTTCCTTTCCTCAGAAACACGGCGATAACTTCCACAAAATTCTCAGAATCGCAGAAAGAACTTCCTCAAATAACTTTGCCAGCTATTAATCCACATTAATATGTAATCAATTAGATGATCCCACAGGAGCAAACTGCTCCACGGAGGGCTTTACTTCCCACTAGAACGAGCAGCAAAGGTGTAACTCCAGGTGTTGGGGAACATTAAACACAACCCATTTCCTCCGCTCAAACGAGAGGGAGGTGAACGGCAATCCCAAAACCACAGAGGCATTCCCACCCTCTTTCCCGGGAATACCCACCACGGGGTTCTCTCCATGGTGGGCCACCTTGACATCACAGAGCAGCCCGGTGGGATCCAGCTGCACTTCCACGTAGAACATGTCCGAGGTGATGTAGCACTCGGTGCCGTTGGCGCTCAGGTGGGAGCCCAGGCTTGGCAGAGAAAACATAACAGAGATTGCTGTGAGATGCACACCAACCCCCCGGGCCCAGCAGCAGCAGGAGGGGCTGATGTGGGCAGGGGGGCAGGGAAGGTCTTGCCCAGGAGCTCGGGGGGACCCACCCGCTCTGCCTGGCGATGGACTCCAGGCGGTCTGTCATGGCAGGCAGGGACGAGACTGGGGAGAGAACAGAAACAGGGCTCACTGCGATGAGCTGACCCTCCCCGAGGAATAAATCAGCAATAAACCCAACCCCAGCCAGTCAGTCCCTCCCCCACGTCTGCTCACTCCTTCCCACGTGCAGCTACAGAGGATCTGTGCTCCAGTACAGGCAGAACCACCTGCACAGAGAGAGCAAAACCTTCCCAAACTGCACAGAGAGAAGGGAACTTCTGCTGCAAGCAGAATCCAGGGATGGATTAAAAATTCCCTGTACCTTAAAGCTCATCCAGTCCCACCCCCTGCCATGGCCAGGGACACCCTCCACTAGCCCAGGTTGCTCCAAGCCCCGTCCAGCCTGGCCTTGGACACTTCCAGGGCTGGGGCAGCCACAGCTTCTCTGGGCAAAGAGAGGATTTTCCCAGTAAAGGCAGCCCAGCCAACCCTGCCTGGTCCTGCCTGGCTCTGAGCTCGGTGTGCTGATGTTCACGTGAGCACCAGATGTGCCAGCAGCGCCCTGGGTGTTTTTATGGAGCATTCCCACAGGATTTCACCACCCAGAGGACACACCAACCTTTCAGGGCCTTCTGCAGTGTCTCCAAGCAGCTCACCAGGTGCTGGTGCCCCCCCGAGTTCAGCACAACTCGCTTTTCCTTGGTCACAAAGAAGAAGAAAAAAGGTCATTTTTGTGTATTCCTCAGGAAGTGGGAATTATTGCAACTTTTGTGCAGCCAAGTCAGGTTTATTGAGGTAACTAAAAGCAGGTTAGATTCCATCCCCAAATCACATCCTCTTGATTCCTGCAGGAGAACAGTACCTGCTTTGGGAGCAGGGAACAGAGGGAGGCCTGGAATTGATTTATTTGCTTTCTGGCAACTTGCTCAGCCGGAAGAACAGATTGTAGCAACTTTTAACAGGTCTAAACTCAGAGTTATAAGAGAGAGAGCAGAGAAATAAGGAGCCAGGCACACTTCTAGCACCTGGATATGTGCAAAGGGCTTTGCTGGAGCTCTCTCCTGCCTCCTGCTCCTCCTTCCCCCCTCACTCCCAGAGACTAATATTTCAAACTAATAATACTTCAAACTAATTTTTGGCAAAGCCAACGCTCAGTGTTCAATATCACTGAACAGGGAGCAAACTGCTCTACAAAACAGTGTCTTGAAACAGCAAATAAAAACCACAAGTTTGACCCTTTTCCTGGCACTGAGCCGAAAATTAACGTGTAATTAGCAAAGGCAAAGGCTCATCAAGCCCTGCAAGGACTGACACCCCTCAACCCCAGAGACCCAGGAGGGAGTGAAAACCTTGGGCAAAACAGAAGCACCTTGAGGAGATCTGAGAAGCCACCACAAAAAGAAAGCAGAGCCTGGGAATCCTCACCATGACCTGCCGGACCAGCTTCATGGTCTCTGTCCAGGGCCTGTTCTGGCTGTACTTGGCGTGGAGCCTCTCCAGGAGGGAGCTCATCTTGTTCAGCTTCTCTGCCTCTGGGGGACAGGACCAGTCAGGGAAGAGCACGAGGTAATGCTGGAGGTTTTACAAAACACCTCCCACCTTTGGGCTAAAGAAATTTATCTGCTGTTGATTTACCCCAGACCTCAGGGCTGAGGTGGGTTTGGAGATGTTTCTGTGGATCGGTGGGATCCCTTCTCCAACTGGGTATTTCTATGGGTATTTGACATATTTGTATGGACTGATGGAATCCCCCCTCTCAAGTGGGGTATTTGCATGAATATTTCATATATTTGTATATATTGATAGGATCCCCTTTCAAACGAGATATTTGTATGGGTATTTGGGATGTTTGTATAAATGGAGGGGGTCGCCTCTCCAGGGGGATATTTGTATGAGCATTTGCGAGATTTGTACGGATTGGGGAGCTGCCCTCTCAAATAGGATACTTGTGTGGCTGTGGGTGTGGGTTCACGGGGTACCCTCTCCTCCTCTTTCCTAAGCAGCCCCGCTCACAGAGAACCCCCAGACCGCTCACACCTTTGCGACCCTCGCTCTCCACGCCTTCCAGGGCGACACCTCAGCCCGTGGCTCCTCAGACCCGGCGCCTCGACCCCCGTCCCCTCACAGGGCGCTCCCGCGCCGCACTCACTCACCCTCGGCGCCGCCCGGCGCCGCCTTCATGTCGGGGTGTTGGTGCCGGTGTCGTGGCCAGTGCCGGTGCCGGGGTGGCGGCCGGGGGGCCCTGCGCTGGGGGCGGCGGCGGGGCCGGGCCGCCCTGGCCCTCCCTCACACGGCCGCGGCCGCCGCTGCCATTCCTGCTGCTCCCGCGGCTGCGCCCCCCCGCCCCCGGAGCTCTCGCGAGACTTCCGGGGCGCGCGCGCATCGGCGGGCGTGGCTTCGCCGCCAGCCAAGGCCCCGCCCACCCCCTCACCCCTCACAGCCACCTCGCAGCGCGGCGGCGGCTTGCGGGAGCCTTTTAACGGCGCGTTAACCGCCCGTTAGCGGCCGGTGCGGGGCACGGCTCCACGCGGCGGCGCGCCAGCAGCCTCGGAGGGCGCGGCGGGAGAAGCGGCGGGAGAAGCGGGCGCGGGCGCCATGGCGCTTCGCGGCGGGCCGGCCGCCAGGGGGCGCCGCCGCCGCCGCCCCACGCCCCAATAAAAGTTCGCTGAGGGTGGGAGCGTCATCCCGGCGGATCTCGCGAGAGGACGAGCGCGCTCGCGCACGGGCGGCGGCAGGAGGAGGAGGGACCGCGGGGAGAGGGAGGGAGGAGAGGGGGGGAGAGGGAGGCGCTCTCGCGAGAGTTGCGCGGGCTCTCGCGAGAGCCGCGGTGCCCCCCGGTCGGCGCCGCTCCGGGTCGGGCAGCGCGCGGGGGCCGGGCCGGGCCGGGGGCGGCTGCGCCGGGACCCGCCCTTCGCCCGGGGACCCTCGCCCGGGGATCCGACACCGCCGCCCGACACCGCGGGGGGGGGAGGGCAGCGCTCCGGGGGCCCCCCCGGCACCGCCTCCCCGCGCGCCGGGCCTGGGCCCCCGCGGATGAGGCGGTGAGGCCGCGGCCCTTCCCCCGCCCCCTCCCGGGGCCTCCCTTCCCCTCCCGGGTCGCCCCTCCCTCCCCGTCCCTCCCGCCTCCGCCGGGGCCTCGCGGCCCGCTCCCCATGTAGGAGGGAGGGCCGAGGCCCCGGGGCGGGCGCGGAGGGAGTTTGAGGGAGTTTGAAGCCCGGGGGGGGTTCCCAGGAGTTCCCCTCGGCCGTTCCCGAGCGCAGCGGGGGAAGGAAGGAATGCCCAACCCGGAGAGACATGGGGGCAAGAAGGACGGCGGCGGCGGGGCCTCGCAGGCGGGCAGCTCCAACAGCAGGGAGAGGCACCGCGCGGGCTCCAGGCACAAGAGGCACAAATCCAGGCACTCCAAGGAGTCCCCGCTGGCGGCCCAGGAGGCGGCGGCGCCCCTGGGAGCCGTGATCAAGCCGCTGGTGGAGTACGACGACATCAGCTCGGACTCGGACACCTTCTCGGACGACGTGGCCCTGAGGCCGGACAGGAGGGACAGCGAGGACAGGAGGGAGCGCGGCGAGAGGGCGCAGAAGCACCGGCACCACCAGCACAAGCGGCTGCGGGAGCTGATGAAGAGCAAGCAGGCGGAGAAGGACAGGAAGCTGGAGAAGGGCCTGGAAGCCTCCAGCAGGTCCGCCAAGGAGAGGGTCTCGGGATCCTCCAAGAGGCTCCCGGAGAGCGACGAGCACCCCAAGGCTCCCTCCTCCAGGGGCGGCAACAAGGAGTCGCGCTCGGCCAAGGCGCACAAGGAGAAGTCCAGGAAGGAGCGGGAGCTCAAGTCCAGCCACAAGGAGCGCGGCAAGAGCCACCGCAAAAGGGACGCCCCCAAGAGCTACAAAACCCTCGACAGCCCCAAGCGCAAGTCGCGGAGCCCCCACAGGAAGTGGTCGGACAGCCCCAAGCTGGACGACAGCCCCTCGGGAGCCTCCTACGTGCAGGAGTACGAGCTGAGCCCGCCGCGCTCGCACACGTCCAGCACCTACGAGCCCTACAGGAAGAGCCCCGGCGGCTCCTCTCGCCGGCAGTCGCTCAGCCCGCCCTACAAGGAGCCCATGGGCTACCAGTCCAACGCCCGCTCGCCCAGCCCCTACAGCCGGCGGCAGCGCTCCGTGAGCCCCTACGCCCGCCGGCGCTCGTCCAGCTACGAGAGGGGCAGCGGCTCCTACAGCGGGAGGTCCCCGAGCCCTTACGGGCGCCGCCGCTCCAGCAGCCCCTTCGCCTCCAAGCGCTCCGTGAGCAGGAGCCCCATCGCCAGGTGCGTGTGATTCCCCCCCCCCGCGGCGGGTGGGAGAGGGCTGGGATGGGAATGCCGAGGGTTAGCCTGTGAAGGGAATTACGGGAGAGGTGGGGCAGGAGGTTTTAGAAGGGGATGGAGCGATGGGATGAGCGGGAATGGGTTCGTATGGGAAGAGCGGGGGTTTAGGTGGGATATTAGGAAAAAATCCCAGGGCCTCGTGTGTGTGTCTGAATCCCAGCGCTTGGAAAGCTCAGGTTTTGCCTCTTAAGAAGTTCAGTGAAGAGAACTTGCAGGAAAGGTGGGGAAAGATTATTTCCAAGAACATGCAGTGGCAGGACAAGGGGGAGTGGGCTCACATTGAAAGAGAGGAGGTTTAGGCTGGATATAGGAAGGAATTCCTCCCTGGGAGGGTGAGGAGGCCCTGGCACAGGTTGCCCAGAGCAGCTGTGGCTGCCCCTGGATCCCTGGAAGTGTCCAAGGCCAGGTTGGACGGGGCTTGGAGCAACCTGGGCTGGTGGAAGGTGTCCCTGGCCATGGCAGGGGGTGGCACTGGATGGTTTTCGAGATCCCCTCCAACCCAAACCATTCCATGATTGGAATGGTTCCTCCTCCTCCCCACTGGTGCTGAGTTTGGCCATGGAGTGGTGTGTGTGGAGCTGCTTTGGTTGGGGTGGTGACAATTGCCTTGGAATGGTGTCCACGCTTTGGGAAATGCCTCCGAGCATGGCAGGAGGCAGCATGGCAGGAGGCAGCGTCCATGTTGGCTCTGGGCAGGGAGGCTGGATGAGCTCTGGGATTAAGTTACACCCACCTCTGGAGTGGCCTCTGGGCTCGGGAGCGGGATCTAAGGCGCTTTACCTGGTGGGAAGCTCAGCGGGGGGGAGCCTTTCACCTCTTTCTGGAAGCCTTTATCTGTTTACTCCATGTGGGAGCCTGATTCCACTTCTCAGGAGGGCTCATGTTGGGTGGATTTTGCTCTTTCTGAACTGACTTGTCTTGTCTTTCCCCTTGGATCAGAGTTGGCCACGTGCAAACTCCATCTCTCAGCCTGAACTTTCTTTTCTCAGTTTCTTCCTTCCCTTCTGAAATCTGGGCATTCTGGAAGGGTCAGGAGCCAACCAGCTGGATTTTGGTTTAACTCTCATTTTTCCTTCCTCTTTTCTTTACTCCATAACTTTGCTACAGAAGGAAACAATCACTTCAAGGTAGTTCTGTGTGTTTTATTTCAGATGTTCATTAATCATCCTGTTACATGGCCAACATTGATCCTTTTTTTTTTTTTTTTTAATTTTTTTTCCCTAGCTTTGGCCTGCGTTCAGTGAGTTTCCAGTTGTCACCATGGATGCTGTGGAGCTTTGGCTGGAGCTCCATGGCAATTCAGATGTGACCTGGAATGTAATGGCCATAGGAATGCTCAGCCCCTTGGTTGCTGCGCTGCATCCTCCAGATCAGCACTTCCCAAAGGCTCTTGGAATTTGGTCTTTGTCACTCAAACTTCCCTTCAGGAACGCTGCCTTCCATGGTGGACTTGCCTTTGTCCCTGCTGGGAGGCCTCTGTTGGTTTTACCCCCTGGAAGCTGTTATGTAAAATCTCTTTATTCCAGGCTGCTGCTCCCCTGCCCTGTTTTCTCTGTGTGCACCTGGGAGGCCCTCAGGGATAGGCCTGGAGGGTTTTCCCCTCCTTCCCCTCAATCCTTTTGGCTGCTCTTACACGTTATGTGCTAATATTTGGAAGAGGAGGGCTGCAGTGGCAGGATGTGTCTATAAATTGATGTAATTGTGTGTTGTGGCACTTGAGAAGTGTCAGTTCAGCCCTAAGCAGGGAGAAACCCTTGGGAAGTGCTGTGGTATCCCAAGAGGTGTGTTTTCCACTTCCCAGGAGAACCTGGAGCCGGTTGGTTGCTCCTGAGTTCTGAAATCCAGTTACATTTTCCTGATTTTAAGGGAGCAACTTTGTGCTGCTTCCCTGAACTGCCAGACCCACTTTTTAAGGACATCTTTGACTCAGTGATGGACCCCAAACCAAAACAGGTTGCAAAGGTTATTCAGTGTTTACACTCACCTTGTACTGAGGCAGCTGACTTTGGGCAGTGACTCTGTCATCCCTTCTCTTGGTTCCTGTGGAGGGGCAGGAATATTTTTGGGAGAGAAAACCTCTTTTTAACTGGCACACTCGGGCCCTGAACACCTGACTGTGGCTTATGCTCTTCAGGCTTTTCTGGGACACTCAGTTATTTCCACTGAGTGACAATATGAGGGTTTTTTGGTGCATTCTGCATTTCCTTTCATCTCCACGTCCAAAACACGGTGTTGGGGGACTGAATCCGTGTGCTGATTGGAGAAAATCCAGAGGGGTTGCACTTCCAGCAGCTGTGGAAAACAACTCTCTCTTCCCATCAAGCGGGAAACAAGGAGGATTTGGTCAGCAGGGAAAATAACAGATGTGCTTTGCCATTCTGTGTAGAAACTGTTGTTGTTGCAGCTAAAACAGGGAGGTGGAATTCCAGAGTCCTCCAGCTTGCTGGAGGTGGGATGTGCTGGGTCCTCAGCTTAGTACTGAGTGTGAGTGAGCACATCCTGGAGTTTGGGGTTCTTGCCCACGGTGAAAGGTCTTTGGGCGTTCAAAAAATGAAGGAACAGAGCTTGTTTCCTGAGAAATTCGAGCAGTTGGGCTTCCCAGGTACCACTTTCCACTTTTATTCTTAACTTCTGTTGTGGTTTGGAGCAGGTGAAACGTTTTGGTGCCTGCAGGTGTTCCTGGGAAGGTTGTTAGTGGGTGATGTGGGGCTTTGCCACCTGATTGCAGGTTCCCTCTGGAACACCCATTAACCAGGGCCCTGCTCAGCATGAGGAGTCTGGAAGGTTCCAGCATTCCTGTCTCCAAAGGCCATTCCAGTCTTCTGCTTGTGTGAGTTAAATGAATCTCACAATGGTTTTTATTTGGGTTTTTAGGTGAGGCATCATCCTCAGCTCTGTGTGAACTCTCAGTCCTCGTGGTTGGTATCTTCCCTTTCTGGTTGCCAGTTCTAGAGGGACAACCAGGTGGTTTTTAACCCCAGGGCATTTTTATGCAGAAGATCTGCATTTGACACTGACTTGCCCCTTATCCATCCTGGATAACCTTGGCAAAGCAAATAAGGTTGGAGTCCTCATTAATACACATTAAAGGGGTAAAAGTACTAATAAGTGGCTGCAGGCAAAGCCACAAAAAATCGTTCCAGAGGATGGAAAGGGTTCTCTTCCAAAAGCAAAACCTCCCTGTGCACCTTGTGTACCTTGTTGCATCTGTTTTGAGATACCCAGTGGTAAAAGGCCCCTCAGCAGGTGCTGTGGGTGTTGGGTGTTGGTGTTTTTGGGGCTGCTGATGGTCCAGTGATGGGAGATGAGGCTTGTTGGAGTGGTGTGGAGCTGGGAAAGCAAGAAGGCTTCTGGATGTGGGGCCTTTTTCGGGTCTGACAAAGCAGCTGTAAACACCAGCCTGGAAAATGGGCTTGGACACAACAGCTCTTTGTGTGATCAGGGTAGGTGATTATTGTTAGTGAAGAGAAAACCTGGGCTGGTGGAAGGTGTCCTTCCTGGGACTGGATGGGCCCTAAGGTCCCTTCCAACCCTTTCCATGGATTGGAGTAACTCCTGGGGGTTAATGGTGAGGGAGGGTGGGAAACAAGGAGCAAGAAGTGGAATCTTTGAGCAGCTTAAACAGCCCGTCCTGGAAGGATTGCAGGAGGGAATGCCAACCCCAAACATTAGGAATGTTTTCCTCAGCCCCACATGTCTTGGAGCGTGGTGAAAAGGTAACTGCTGTCCCAGCTCCTGGTGGCAGGTGAGCTGTGTCCCAGATCATCAGTTCCCTGAAAAACCTTGGAAAAAGAGAGGCAGAGCTCCTGGTGTGCTGAAGAGGCAAAACAGCTGAGTGGCTTTAGATCCCGCTTTTTCCTCCTTGTGGCTGTATGTTCATTTTGTGAGTTTAAAGGTGAGGACCTGCCTGCAGCCCTGGGGTTGTAGCAGTGAGAGAGAGGAATGCTGATCCTTGGAGCAGGGAGGGAAGGGGGTTCTGGTGAACCTCCCCCAGTCCCAGCTGCCCACCCTGGCAGGTGTTTGTGGTGACCAGCCGGGAGCTCTGTGTTACCTCAGCTCTCCAGTTTATTTTGCCAATATTGATTGTCTCGGGATAATATTAATTTGTGTGGCCCTACAAAGAGTTCAGGCCTCGTTGTTAGTTGTGTTCTGAGCGTGGTTACAGGCGATCCAGGGCTGCCTGCCTGTGTTTGGACCTGTTTGGGATGAGGTGTGTGTTTTATAGCTATTCTGGGACTGTGTTCTGAGAGAATTCCATGTTTTCCAAATATGCCCTGAGTAATCACGGAGTGTTGTGTCTATGACAGTATTTATAGGGTCTGGTCTTAGAATGTTTGGTTTTCCCATGCCATTAAACCTTCTGTCTCAACATCCAATCCTGGTTCCTGCTGGAGTGGAGGAAGCGGTTCTGGTTTATCAGGAATTTTGATGTGGACTCTGGAAGTGCTAGTTTCCACTTCCATTTTACTTTTTTCATCCAGTTTCCCCATCAGTCTCCCCTGAGCTGGTGGTGGCTGCTCTCTCCTGAGCAGGTTCAGCCTGATGGTGTGAGGTGTTCCCTGCCTTGCTTCGCTCACAGCACAGCTTTTCTGTGATTATTCCTTCATAAATACGTGACTTAGAGCCCATTTATTGTAGAGGAAGACCAAGGCCTCAGAAAAATTGCTGGTTTATTTTTTCATTTCTCCCAAATCACACTGTGCAGTAAAAGAACCGGGGGGGGAAATGAGCTTGAAGTGTGTGATTTCCTGAGGCAGATTTGCTCTTGTTTTATCCACTGTTTCCTTTAAAGTTGTACCTGATTCCTGTGAAAGATTCCCAGACTGCCAGCTCATCCTCTGGACTGAGGTCTCCTGTTGGCTCCGTGATCTCCTCTTTTCCTTGGGAATTGTCCAGCCTTGGTCCTTGATTTCTGTGTTACCGGTGAGGGTGGTCCTGGCCCAGGAAGGCTGGATGTGAAACCACTCCTGACTGACTCAATAAACCCCTTTCAGCAGCTTTAATCTCTCCTGACAGGTGTTGAGGACCCTCTGACCTGCCCAAGCCCGGGTTCAGTTGTTGGCGAGTAGCTCAGAGTTTGACAGAAGCTTCCTTTCGTGTCTCTCTCCGCAGGAAGTCCGTGAAGTCCCGGAGCCGCAGCCCTGGATACTCAAGACACTCATCTCACAGCAAAAAGCAGAGGTCTGGGTCCCGCAGCCGCCATTCCAGCATCTCCCCCACGAGGCTCCCGCTGAACTCCAGCCTGGGAGCAGAGCTCAGCAGGAAGAAGAAGGAGCGAGCGGCCGCGGCAGCAGCTGCGGCCAAGGTGGACGGGAAGGAGGCGAAGGGCTCCCCGGTGTTCCTGGCCAGGAAGGAGAACAGCCTGGCCGAGCTGAAGGAGGCCGGCCCGGAGTCTAAAAAGGCCACCAAAATTGTTAAGCTGGAGAAGGCTCCGCCAGACCCAGAGTCAGTGAACTTACTGCACACGAACGCCGAGCCCAAGGGCCCCGCGGAGCCGGCGAGGGCCCGGCCGGAGGAGAACGCGGAGCGCAAACATCCCGCACCGGCTCGGGACTCCAAACCCTCGGGAACAAAGGACTCGAAGCCCGGAGCAGCGGTGGAGGACCTGGTATCTCCAAAGGAGACAGACACAGCGGAGAAGGAGATCCCACCCCCCCTGCCCTCAATCAAGTCCCCCCCTCCACCCCTGCCCACCACCACCCCTCCGACTCCGCCGCTGCCGCCTTTGCCTCCGTCTCCCGCCATCCCGCCTTTGCCTCCAGCCCAAGTGACTCCTGTCCAGGCCCCTCCTCCAGCCCCAACGTCTTTGCCATCCTCCTCCCACCCAAGGACGTCTACTTTATCCTCTCAGGTGAACTCCCAGTCCTCTGTGCAGGTGGCTACAAAAACCCAAGTGTCTGTGACGGCTGCTATCCCACACCTGAAAACTTCCACCCTGCCTCCGCTTCCGCTGCCCCCTATTTTAGTTGGGGAAGATGACTTGGATAGGTAAGGTCACAGCAGAGCATCCCCTTTGCATTGAAATAACGAGGGGTTTGAGGGGAGTTTGGCAGCTGGGAGCTTCCCCTGCAGGGTACAACTGTTGCTGGGATAGCTGTGTTATCCCAGGGCCACTCCAGGTTTGGCCCTGGCAGGTTTCTGTGGAGAGTTTGGTGATCCCACGCAGGTAGTTGCCTCTTATCCCTGTGGGAAACAGGAGTTTGGCTGCTGCTTAGTAAAGGTTTGCCCTCTTTGGTCATGTTTACTGCAGGAATGGAACGTGGCTCTGGGATTTTGCACCTCTTTGTGTTGCAGCTGTTTGCACAGACTCACTTTTTAAAATCGCTGGGTTTTTTGTTTAATTCCTCCAAAACTTGTACTGAAGGAACAGGGAAGGGCTTAACACTTCCAATCCAGGGACACAAACCAGAGCTTTTTCTGTTCCCAGTTCACCAACCACACAGGTCATGCCCATGGGTAAAACCAGCACTGGTTGAACTTAAGCACTGTCTTAATTATTGAGTCATTAATACAGTCCTTTATTGCTCGAGAAGTAGGTATTGTTTAAAAATGAGTGAAATTACACCTGCTTCAACTTGATTTCCTGTAATTCCTGATCAAAACATGCAGACTTGGCTCTGTCCTGGAACTGGAGCTCTGGCTGGGCTGGGGGTGGTCGTGGCTTCTGTGATGGACTCGTCTGGAAAACCTCGTTGTGGGGCTTTTATTTTTGGTGGGAAGAAGAGGGGGAAGGAGCAGGATAACCAAAATGGAGATGGAAAAGAAGAAACCCAGATATTTATATTTTCTTTCTCTCCCTTCTAGCTGTTGGTGTGTTGTAGTGCTGTTAACTGCAGGTCATAAGTGATATATATTTATTCTTTTTCCTACTTGACTTGCTTAGCCTGTAGTTCCCTAAAAACTTCTGTATATTCCCAGCTTGGTTTTGGGCAGTCAGCTTCTGACTCGACACAAAATCACCCTGTGGTGAACTCCTTGTGTTCCATATTCTGATTACTGAATTGATTTTCATGGGTTATCCTGGCATTGATGCCAACCAGGGAAATGTTCTCTCTGCCACCAACCCAAACGTGAGGCTCCCGTGTGGTTGTTGCCCTCCCTGAGCTGTGTGATGTTGTTCAGCAACTAATACTGAGTTTAAATGTTTCTGTGATCAGCAAGGGCTTTGAGCAGATTTTCCCAACCCAAATGCCAGTCAGAGCAAATCCTGCTGCTGCATTCCCTTGTTTCCAAACCCAGAAGTTGTCCTGCAAATCTCTATTGTGTTGGTTTTTTTTTTTTTAGCCCCTTACACCCAGAGCTCTTTTTTACCACCCAGATGTGGCTTAGTTTTGTTTTATCCCTGACCTCAGGGCTGGGGGTGATGAGGGGGATGGAGCAAAGCTCAGTAAGTGGCTTTATGTGACTTTTTCCCAGTTAAAGGGTGGGAAATCCTGCTTGTTTTGCTGAGTCTGGTGGCAGTTCCACATGGCCCCAGCTGGGCAGAATCTCCCCCTTAACCAACTGCCTTCCTATTTACGGGCAAAACTTTCTGAGCTGAGCTTTTTGTTGTCCTTGCTGAGCCTGGGGAATGTTCCAGCCCCGAGAACAGGGTTGGAAAAGGGCTTGGAAGTGTCCAAGCACGAAAAGCACCTCGTTCAATTAGAGGCTCTTTAACCTCTCCAGACTTAAAACCTCCTGCAATGCTTTCAGACCTCGCAGCAAGTCCTGGGGATTCACCAGGAGAGCAGGAAAAGCTGTTTAGGAGGAAGAGACACAAACTCTGTGTGGGTTTGGTGTCGTGCTCCGAAGGGGCAGAGCTTGTGTAGCTTCCTGGGAACATCTGGCTGAGTGATCACAGCACCAGCCTGGTTACAAGCATAGATCCAGCTGCTGCCAGTGCTGCCTTTTTAGGGTTGGCATCCCTGCTGTTTTAGGGGAGAAAGGAGCTCCAGGAAGTCTTTGTTGGCCTGTCTGTGCTCACCCTTTCTAATTCCTGTGCTCGGGCAGCTCCGAAGGGTCTGTTTGGTTTCCTGGCTCTCAGAGATGTTCTGGGGCAACTGAACTTCCAGTGACCCAGTGCTGGCCTGCAAGTAGGAAACTGAGCACGGATAATGGCAAAAGAATGGGAGTTTTTTGGGAGAAGGGGCCTTCTGAAAGGCCAGGCACTGCAGGTTGACCCTACGGACACACCTTCACCCACCAAGGTCTTGGAAAGAAGTGGCTTTTGAGGGGTGTCTGGAAAAAGGTTGAGCCTTTGAGACGTGGTTTGGTGGTGAATGTGACAGTGTTGATGGTTTGACTTGATCTTAGAGGGCTTTTCCAGTTAAACAATTCCATTATTTCTTATATAGATATTTAAATACTGTTATTCTGCTCCTCAGGAGTTTGCAGTCAATGGGAGCTGAGTTTTAGCCTGTCCAGCTCTCCCACTTCAGGTGTTTCTTGTCTTCCTCCTTCCTTAACTTGGTTTCACAAGAGATTGTCATGCAGATTAGGCAGAGTCTAATAAAATAATTGGGAAAATGACCTACTTCCATCAGTTCATCTGTGCTGAAGTGTCAGAGCTGATGGTGCTGACAAACACCAAACCTGCTCCTGCCCTAAAAACACGCCTGGGAAGGTTGTTTGCATCTCTTCATCTTTTTGTGGTGAAGCAGAGAATTCCTGACTGTTCAAACCCAGGAATTCTCCTTGCTGAGGACACGAGAGACAAAGTGGGTTCTTTCTGCTCACGTGACTCTTGCCAGTCTGAACCAAACTTCTGATGCCACTGGGAACTGGATTTAAAAAAAAAATCAACTCTTGGTGTCTCAGCAGCATTCAGGAGTTAAAGCCACATTTCAGGCCTTGGTATGAAGTTAAAAGTTGCTCATGGAGAGAGGTCTAGCTCTGGGTCTGTATTTCTGGCAGTCCTTACCAAGTCATGCATTTAATTTGGTGATAAGTGAAGTAAATAGGGGAAGTAAAGGTCAGAAAGTGGGTTCTGACTGATGCTCTGAGCTGTCTTATAGGAAGCTCCAAGTGATTACTGATTTGTGCAGATGGAGCAAGTCCCAGTGCAGACCTGTGTGTTTATTTAGTGCCGTGTTCAACTCTCACACTCTTCTCTCCTGTTGTACGGGCACTCGAAATTTTAGAGCTGTTTTATTTTATACTTGGCTGTGCTAATTCTGACACTTCTGGTTGTCAGCCAGAGCTGTTGTCCTACAGCAGCTTTTTCCCTGGGTCGAGTCTGACTCCTGTGTTGTATTAACTTTCCGGAGTTTAGTCCAAAGGAGATTCTTCCTCCGAAACCTGTGAAGAAGGACAGAGAGCAGAGACCACGCCACTTACTCACGGACCTCCCGCTCCCCCCGGAGCTCCCCGGGGGGGACCCATCTCCTCCCGACTCCCCAGAACCAAAGGCAGCCACACCACCTCAGCAACCCTTCAAAAAGAGACCAAAGTAAGCCTGGCTTTGTTGTTTTGGTTTTTTTTCACTGGTGTGAGAGCTCTTTATGGAGGGAAGTGAAATGGGGAGGAGACAAGTTCCTATTTCTGTGTTTTCTTGTATAAACACCATTTCCTGTGGGTTGTTTTGTATTTGGACCCTCATTTATTTGAGGATTAGTGGCAGAAGTTGCTGGAGTGTGCCATGTTCAATCTCCAGCCACATCTACCCCAAAAGCTCTTTAATTCAGTTGTGCCCACAGCCCCAGAAAACCTCCTTGTGAGCACCCCTGTGCAAAGCTCGTGGTGACTTTAGGAGTTGATCATTCCAGACAGGAGATGTCCAGGTTTTCTTGATGCATTTCATGATTGAAGTGTTGATGGTGGAACTGCCCTGGCACAGGTTGCCCAGAGAAGCTGTGGCTGCCCCTGGATCCCTGGAAGTGTCCAAGGCCAGGTTGGACAGGGCTTGGAGCAACCTGGGATAGTGGAAGGTGTCCCTGCCCATGGCAGGGGGTGGGACTGGATGGGCTTTTAAAGGCCCTTTCCAATCCAAACCATTCCACAATTCCATGATTCCATGTTCCAGGCACAGAGAACTTCCCCTGATAACAAAGTTCAAGCAGTTGTTGAGGCAGCAAACTCTCTTAGTGTTCTGTACAGAGCATTACACTGCCTTAGAAATAAAAATCAAATATCCAGCATTTTGTGAAATAGCCCAAACATTAATTTCTGTCCTACTGTAGCATAATAATGCTCTCCTGGATAATATTCCTGCACAGCAGTGCCTGGAGTAGTTGGGATTACACAGCAGAATTCATCGAACTGTCCCAAACACTCAAATTCTCGGGAGTGCAAAGCCAGCATTGCTGAGCTTTGCCTTTGGGGTTTGGGGGTCAGTTTAGCAGCCAGGCAGGTGGCACTGGGGTGACACTGGGGTGTCTCACAGGCCTGTTCCCTCTCCCAGAATCTGTTGTCCTCGGTACGGGGAGAGGAGACAGACGGAAAGCGACTGGGGGAAGCGCTGTGTGGACAAGTTTGACATCATTGGGATTATCGGAGAGGGGACCTACGGGCAGGTCTACAAAGCCAAGGACAAGGACACAGGTAAGGCTGGAGAGTGGCTTCCAGGTGAATTCCACCTTTGGAAGCCCATGTTGCTGTGGGTGTGCTCAGCACCCACGGTGTGGCTGGTTGGTGACCAATCCCTGTAGAACTAGAAATGGCTCCTGGAATAGGCACTTCCAGAGGGCTGGAAGAACAGGAGCTCTGAAATCCTGAGTTAGTGCCCAGCTTCCCACTCTGCCTGTGAGATCCTGTGCCCTGGGTGTGTGGTTTGACCCCTGGTCAGGTGGTTGTGGCAGCCACAGGTGCCAATTAAACCTCTGCCTTTTAGGTGGGCCCATGTCAGACTTGATTGTAGCAGAGAATAGTGGGAAATTCCGGGGTAAATGTGTGTTCCCCTGTGTGAGTTCCTGCTGGAGCAGCTCAGGAGGAGCACAGGTGTCACCAGTCCAAGCGTGATAACTCCTGGCAGAGCAATTTAACTGAATTTAGGGGGGTAACTAAAGCTGCCTCTGCCGCCCTTGGTGGGTGTCGGTGCTCGTGGCTCCTTCCCTGGAGCCCCGGGGAGGGCTGGTGAGGAGGGCAGGGCGTGACCCAGGTGTGCCTTGGCAGGTGAGCTGGTGGCCCTGAAGAAGGTGCGCCTGGACAACGAGAAGGAGGGATTTCCCATCACGGCCATCCGGGAGATCAAAATCCTGCGGCAGCTCATCCACCGCAGCGTCGTCAACATGAAGGAGATCGTCACGGACAAACAAGATGCACTGGATTTCAAGAAGGACAAAGGTACCTGGTTGCTCCAGGTGTGGGTTTTCCAGCAGCCACAGACGTGGTGCAACCCGTTGGTTTAGTGCAAAACTCAAAATCTGAACTCTGGAGTGGCTTTGGTTTTTTGTTTTGGTTTTTTTGTGTTCCTCCTTTGTAAGCAGTTCCAGGGAGTTTGGCAGCTGGGCTCGGCCTTTCCTCAAAGGATAGATCCCAGTTAAAGTGAGTTGTTGCACTAGAGGGATGACTTCATTCCTGCAGAGTCACAGATGAACAGGCTTTAACAAAAAAAGGCCTTTACAGGGTCACTTCTAACACTGATTAGTGGCAACAAACTTATCAATAGTGTGAAAAGTCTTGTGTCCTCCATCACTGTGGAAGGAGGGTGTTTTATAATCCCACTGGCTCTTGTTTGGGACCTTCTTTTCCATGAGAGAGAAGGGAGCAACACAAACATGAGTTCAAACCATGCATAGCAGTGATCTCCTCAACAAACTCTCCTGAAGGGAAATAACCAAAGCAGGTGGGTAAACGTGGCCAGGATTTCAGAGGAATTTATTTGGAGTGCACATTTAATTTCAGATGTCAGCTTGGAGGGGCTGCTTAGTTGTTTTGGGGTTGTTTTTTAACCCCTTAGGGGGAAAAAAAAAATCACATAGGACCTTTAAGCCCTAAACATCCCAAGACTGGTAAAGACAACAGTGCACAGAAAAGACTGTTTCAACAACTGAATCTACTTTTGTTCCTCCTTTTTTTGTGTCTCTGCTCTTCAATCGTTTCTTTGTTTCTTATCCCAGGTGCCTTTTACCTTGTGTTTGAGTACATGGACCATGACCTAATGGGGCTGCTAGAATCTGGCTTGGTACATTTCTCAGAGGACCATATCAAGTCTTTCATGAAACAGTTAATGGAGGGTCTGGACTATTGTCACAAAAAGAACTTCCTTCATCGAGACATTAAGTGCTCCAACATCTTACTGAACAACAGGTAACCTGGGGGTGGATCCACCTCCCTCCAAGCTCTTCCCTGTGCTCTCCCTGAGAGGACACATCGTCCTCACCCTGGCTGTGCTCAGAGGCAGGAGGTGTGGGAATTATCCTGTCCATAGTTCCAACCCCATGGCTGGATATCCACCTCAAGAATTCCTCTAGGGTATTGGCCCAGTGGGAAGGGTTTGTGGTAGAGATGACACTGAATTATTGCCTTTTTTTTTTTTTTTTCTACATTTCTTTGAAGCATGAAATCCAATCTGGGAAAGTCAGGCAGGCATATCCAGCAGTGGTTCCTGCAGACGTGGCTCTGGGAGGCCTTTCTGCTCCATGGGGGTTTCCTTACCCTTGGACTGGGGTTTCACCAGGAGCAGGGCTCTGATCCTGCTGGGTCCCTTCCAGCTCACTGGGTTCTGTGATTTATCTGCTTGACTCCTGCTGGGATTCAAACCAGGGCCTGTTTTTTTTTGTCTCTTCCAGTGGGCAAATCAAACTCGCAGATTTTGGACTCGCCCGACTCTACAGCTCGGAGGAGAGGTGAGGAGGGGACAGGGTGTACACAGCTGGGGTGGGCTCCTTTCTCCTGAGCATCCACGGGATCCCTGCGCTTGGAATTCCTGAGAAATGATTCCCAGTGTATCATCCCAGCTCCAGCTGTTGGATAGATACGCTCCTGGCAGCCATTAATAGCTTTGCATTGTAAAACCAGATGATGAGGAGCCAAAACATCTTTTCTGTTTGCCCTGGAGCTTGTTTGGCTCCCAGATCAGCCACTACTCAGTGATGGCAGCACATTCAGCCTCCTGAGGGGCAGGAATTCAGTCTTGGGTACCTCCAGCTGGAGTCCTGAGCCCTGTAAAACCCGTGGTACCTCCTCTTCCCTTAACTCAGGGAAGTGGAGGCACCCGCAGTGCCCCTGCTGCTGCTGAACTCTGCAGCTGGGCAGTGAAAACAAGCGGGTTTGAAGGGGTTTGTGGCTCCTGCCATCAGTTTCTGTTTGTGCTTTGCCTTCCAGCCGGCCCTACACCAACAAAGTGATCACCTTGTGGTACCGACCCCCGGAGCTGCTGCTGGGGGAGGAGCGTTACACCCCTGCCATCGACGTGTGGAGCTGTGGGTGAGTGACCTCTTGGCTCTGGGCAGCAGCTCAGGAGCATTTCCCGTGGAATCTGAGCTCGTTCCTGCAGCTGGATCTGTCCCAGCCATGCACAGGGTTCTGATAAAAAAAAATTTTTTTAAAAAATACCGTTTTAAATGTAAAATGTTTTATATTCGCATTAAAAATATTTAAACTAGATTTAAATTTATTATTAATAATAATAATAAAATTTAAGTGTATACTACTATTATTAATGGTATATGTTTGTATTTAAAATACTATATTTAAATTATATATTAAATATATTAGTATATATTACATTATATAATTATATATTATTTATATAAATTATCTATAATATATTAAATTATATTAAATTATATATTATATTTATATTTTATATGTATATAATATATATTATATATAAAATACATTTTATATATAGTATATATTTTTATATATTATATTTTATACATAATATATTTTTATATATTATAGTTTTATATAAATATGTTTTTATATATTGTATTTTATATATATTTATATATATATTTTTATATATATTTTTATATAATATATATTTTTATATAATATATATTTTTATATAATATATATTTATATATTATGTATTTTATATATATTATGTATTTTATATATATTATGTATTTTATATATAATATATATTTTATATATAATATATATTTTATATATAATATGTTTTTATATATAATTATATATATATTAAAAAAATATATATTATTGGGGTGGGGCTGGATTGCCCAAAATAGGAACACTTCCCATTGGGGTATTCACAGCTGAACTTCAGCAGAGCTTAGAACACAAACAGAGGGTTGTGAAAGCCAGCAATTAATCCTGATTCCTGCTGGGAATTCTGGCAGTGAGGTCCAGTTGCTGCTCAGTGTCCTGTGCCATGAGAGGGGTTGTCCCTGTTCCAGCAGCCAGAGGTCTGTGTCCCCCTCAGCTGCTCCTGGCACTGATTCCTGGTGGCTTGAGGGGTGTGGAGGCCTGAAGGAGTCAGAGCTGTGCCCTCCCTCCTCCTCCTCTTTCCCAGCTGTGTGTCCACACCAGTCCATGTCCCAGGACACGCAGGTTGGGGCAGCTGAGGATAGTTTGGGGCAGCACAGTGAGGTTTGAAAGCTGAACCTGGAGGAAACGAGATCCCTGGCTCTTTTTCCTTGTCACATGGCCACATCCCCCTTTCCCTGCAAAGAGTTAACACGTCAAGGGCTTCCTGCATGAAGCAGCCCCTTGCAGGGAGGTGATTCCCCAGGAGCCCAGCACGGGGGTTCTGTACACACAGGTCAGTCTGTCAGTGCTCAACTACAAGCCCTGATGCAAATCACCCTCCTCGGGCAAAGCAGAAACCCGGCGCTGTTCAAACGCTCCTCCCAAGGGTTTGCTGTCGTGACCTCTTGCTTTTCCTCTTTCCAGCTGTATCCTCGGGGAACTGTTTACAAAGAAGCCTATTTTTCAAGCCAATCTGGAACTGGCTCAGCTTGAATTAATCAGGTAAAGCGTTGCACATGCATGTCTGTGAGAGGAGGCGCTGCAGGAGCTGCTCGTGCACACAGGCCGCGTGTTAGAGGAGCCCTTGTTCTCTCCCCCTTTGCCTGCAAAATAGGGCCAGAAATGCCTGGAACTGCAAGTGGGAATAGTCAGGTGTCCACACCCCCATCAGGTGTGTGTGGCTTTTCATTTATGTGCCCACTGTGAGCTGAGTACAAAAATCATGAACCTAAATTACATCTCACGCTGAAAATTAGAATCACAGACTGGTTTGTGTTGGGAGGGGTCTTAAATCTCATCCAGTCCCACCCCCTGCCACGGGGAGGGACACCTTCCACTAGCCCAGGTTGCTCCAAGCCCCGTCCAACCTGGCCTTGGACACTTCCAGGGATCCAGGGGCAGCCACAGCTTCTCTGGGCGACCTGTGCCAGGGCCTCCCCACCTGTATAGTAAAGATAATAAAAGTTAGTAAATCTTTAAAATTTAAAGTAAGAAATTTTAAAAATGTTAACACTTACAGTAAGAAAAAGAAAAATTCACTGTGTGGGTGGTTTATGAGCTCAAGCTCAGCATTCCCCTCTTCCTGATACCTCCTTCCTTAACACCTCCCCGAGATGTGCCCAGCCCTTGGTCATTGCTGCAGCGAGTTGCTCAGGAAGGAGCTTTTCTCTGGGGTTGGGGGCTCTCCCCCTGTGTGCCACCTGCCTGACCCTGCTCTCCTGCCTCCCAGCCGGCTCTGTGGGAGCCCCTGCCCAGCTGTGTGGCCAGATGTGATCAAGCTGCCCTACTTCAACACTATGAAGCCCAAGAAGCAATACCGCCGGCGCCTGCGCGAGGAGTTCTCCTTGTGAGTGGCCTGGGGGGCCTGGGGGGGGGTCATGGCCTCTGTGACTCCCCTCTTCTCCTCTGGATGTGGTTTGTGGAGCTTCTCCCCCCCTGGGGAAGGCTGGGATGGGGTCACTGTGCCCTCCCTCAGCACCTGATGTGGCTCAGGTGCCTTCGGAGGGATTCCCTGTGGGAGCACCCTTGGCACCCTGGAGCACCCTGAAGTCACGGTCTGACTTCAGGGAAATGTTCTCTGGGGGAGAGTCTAAATGTGGGATAACCCTGTGGGATTTGTAACCCAGTTGCTTTTCATAAATGGCAAAAATTAAAGTGAAAATATCGTGGAATATCCTGAGCTGGAAGGGACCCCCAAGGATCGTCCAGTCTGGCTCCTGGTCCTGCCCAGGACACCCCAACAATCCCCCCACGTCCCCAGAGCATTGTCCAAACACTCCCTGAGCTCTGGCAGCCTTGGGGCCATGCCCACTGCCCTGGGGAGCCTGTTCAGTGCCAACCACCCTCTGGGGGAAGAACCTTTCCCTGAGATCCAACCTGACCCTCCCCGACACAGCTCCAGCTGCTGCATCACGAGGAATAAACTTTGGCTGTGTGTGGATTCCTCTCAGGCCTGAGGGGTCTCTCTCTGGAAGTGGCTTCTCCACATGTTCCCCCTTGACTCCTCCATGTTTCCCACTCTCTCCCCAGCATTCCCTCGTCTGCTCTGGACCTGCTGGACCACATGCTGACTCTGGACCCTGGCAAACGCTGCACAGCAGAGCAGGCCCTGCACAGTGACTTCCTGAAGGACGTTGACCTCAGCAAAATGGCACCTCCAGAGTAAGTCCCAGCTGCCACAGCCGTGGGCTCTCTGCTGGAGGGGAGGAGACCCTCCCTGCTGGAGGGATTTTTTTCAGTCAAAATTAAGATTTCTGGGCTCTTTTCTCTACTCTGCCCTGGCATTTTGTCTTGTGGTTGAGCAAGTCACTCTTCCTGTGCTGTTAGATTTCTGCCTGATAACAGGCTGGTTTTATAAAGCCCAGTTTAATGCTTGTGAGATGCTCTAAAACTCTGTTGGAAGTTGTGCAAGAGTGGGATGTAGCACATCCCTGTCTCTGTGCCATGGAGAACCAGTCAGGCCTCATTAAGGCTGTGTGTTAATTGAGTGGAAGAGTTGAGCAGTGTCACACTGTAGCAATTTCCTCCCACTCCAGTCAAGCAGATGATAAAACTCTGGCGGATTTGTGTGCAAGTACAGCCACAAAATTCCTGTTTCCTTCAGAGTTCCTCGAGGCAGGGCCTTCCTTAAATCCCCCAGACCCTCAGAGCTTGGTGGACTTGCCCTCACTGGGGTTTGTGTGAGATCCCAGGCCGCTCAGGGATGAGATCCCAGTGCAAATTAAATCATTTCCCTGTAATTAGGTTGCCTTTCCTGTTTCCAGGACTTGCCCCTTCTTGGTTTGGCTGCAGTCAGGGGAACGTAGAATCATGGAATGGGTTGGGTTGGGAGGGAGCTTTAAGTGCATGCAGTTCCAACCCCCTGCCATGGTCAGGGCCACCTTCCACTAGGCCAGGTCCAACCCTGCCCAGCCTGGCCTTGAGCACTGCCAAGGACAGGAGTTCAAGTGTTCAAACCAGGGCCAACCTGGCCTTGGACACTCCCGGGGCGGGGCAGCCGCAGCTTCTCTGGAAGCACATCCCCTGCGCTCCTCTTAGGGCTCTAACAACCTTTTCCTGTGGGGTTTTGGGGATTCCCCTGGTTTCCCAGGCGTGTTTCTCACTGCCCAGTGTTGCCTTGCAGCCTCCCCCACTGGCAGGATTGCCACGAGCTGTGGAGCAAGAAGCGCCGGCGGCAGCGGCAGAGCGGGATGGCCGTGGAGGAGCCTCCGGTGGCAAAAGTTTCTCGGAAAGAAACTACCTCTGTTACAAGCACAGACACTGTGAAAAACAACAGCAGTCCTGTGCCCCCCCAGCCTGCCCAGCTCAAAGCAGAGCCTGGGGCTGCAGATGCAGTAGGTCAGTGCCCGCTTTGCTCTGGAAAAGGCTCCCGGTGTGTTCCCTCCCTGGGTGTGGGAGGTTTGTGTCTGGTTTTCGAGCCAGTCTGGTTCTTTCACCTCTGTTTCTGCAGAAAGGGCATTCCAGACTCTTCCTGTCCTCGTTTCTTTTATTCCCTTTTTTTTTTTTTCTTCCTTCTCTCTGCTGTGGAGGCGCAGAGGGTTCTGTCTGGTCTTCAGAAGTCACTGATGAGCCGAGTGTGAATTTGTTCTGAGCTGTGCTATTAGTTCTAAAAGAGGCTGAATGATGAAAGGAGTCACTGAGTCACTTAAGCCAGGGAAGGAACAGATCATAGGCTGGAAGGTGCAGCCACATCCAGGAGCTGAAGTTTGATCTTGTTGATCAAATTATATAAAGATTAGGTGTGGGGCATATGCAAAAATGTACATTATCACACTTAATTGCAGAAAAGGTCGTCAAGACTTGCAGGACCAGAACCTGTGCACTGTGACCAACCCGTGACCAACCTTCCTGTGCCTAGAAAATAGTTGGAGGGGAAGGTATTTTGATTCCTGGGAATGTGGAGTTACACAAAGCTACCCTGATTGTTCTGTGGAAGCCTTATAAAAACCCAGATATGGGGGCTAAAGCTTCCTTTGTGTCCAGTGCTGTGCTGACAAGTAATGAGGAAGACAGTTCTTGCTCCAGGGAATGCACAATCCATGTGTTCAGTGAAACATGGCAGATGGACAAAAGGTGGTGCTTGGATTAACAAACAGCTGGGAAAAGAGTGTCACGTTCCTCGTCCCCCACCAGCAAGAGGAGCTCCAGTTTAAGCTTCTAAAACCAAACCTTGGCATCCTTATTCCCAAAAAGTTCCAACATCAGTGTCAGTGTGAAGGGGCACCCTTGTCACTTGTCACCCCAGTGGGCTGCAGAGGGAGGTGGTGCCACCCCAGGGATGTATTTTAGGATAACCTGGATCCTTGCAGACCAGGACAGAACCCTGTGATCCCAGGCCAGGAATTGCCTTCTGCTTGACCTAATTCCTTCTGCTGTGTCACTGAACACACCCTTCCTGCATCCCAAACTGCAGCTTGGCTCCATCCTGGGAAACCTGCTTCCCAGGGCAGGAGGGGGTGACTGATCCATGGGGACGTGGGGAGGGGCTGAGCTGCTGTGATTGCCCTGACGTGGGTTTGGGGCTTCCATCCTCATCAACGTGGTATCCTTGGGATGCCCTGGCTTCCCAAACCCAGGAATGGGGAGGTTTGGCTCAGCTGAGCTGGGTTTTGGCAGCAGCCCCGTGTGCAGTGGTGTTTGGGAGGTCGAGGGGCAGCGAGGCAGCAGCAGCTCTGTGGGTGCAGTGTGTGCCCAGCACCACGGGGTGCTGCTGCCGTGCCGTGGGAATCCCAGCAGGATATCCTGAAACCCTCCTCCTGGAGCCTCCCTGCCTTCCCCCAGCCTGGGGACGTGGAGAAAGGGATGTTCAGTGCCATGGGGATGTAGAGAAGGGATGTTCAGTGCTGTGGGGTGTGGGGAAGGAGGATTCCTTGCTGTGGGATGCAGATCATGGCTGTGGGACGTGGGGAAGGGCTGTGGGGTATGTGGAAGGAGGATTCCTTGCTGTGGGATGTGTGGAAGGAGAATTCCTTGCTGTGGGATGTGGATCATGGCTGTGGGACGTGGGGAAGGGCTGTTAGTGCTGTGGGATGTGTGGAAGGAGGATTCCTTGCTGTGGGATGTGGATCACGGCTGTGGGATGTGGATCACAGCTGTAGGATGTGTGGAAGGAGGATTCCTTGCTGTGGGATGTGGATCATGGCTGTGGGACGTGGGGAAGGGCTGTGGGATGTGTGGAAGGAGGATTCCTTGCTGTGGGATGTGGATCATGGCTGTGGGACGTGGGGAAGGGCTGCTCACTGCTGTGGGTCATGGGGAAGGGGTGTCCATTTCCACAAGCAGTGCCAGGACCCCGAAGCCCCCCCGGCAGTGACGCTCCCCTCTCGTCCCCTCCCGGGGTGTCCCGCAGGCCTCGGGGACATCACGCAGCAGCTGAACCAGAGCGAGCTGGCCGTGCTCCTGAACCTGCTGCAGAGCCAGACCGACCTGAGCGTGCCGCAGATGGCCCAGCTCCTGAACGTGCACTCGAACCCCGAGATGCAGCAGCAGCTGGAGGCCCTCAACCAGTCCATCACGGCGCTGACCGAGGCCACGGCGCAGCACCACGAGCACCACGAGCCCCCGGCGGCGCCGCCAGAGGAAGCCATAGAGGAGCCCCCTCCGGAGGTGCCGGAGGAGCAGCAGACTCCGGACGCAGCCAGCGCTCAGGGAGACATGCAGAACGTGCTGGCGGTTCTGCTGAGTCAGCTCATGAAGAGCCAGGAGCCCGGGATCCCGTCCCTGGAGGAGAGCAACGGGGAGAAGAGCAGCGAGCAGCGGGCGCCCCGGAAAACCCCGACGAGGCACCCGGAGGAGAGCTCAGGTAAATAAAGAAAACCTCGCGTGTTTGAGGAGTTGAAGCGTCCCAGGGAGCGGGATAGGTCTGGTTTCCAGGAGGAATGAGAGCTTGGAGTGCTGGGGGAGGGAGGAGGGAAGGGGATGGGTAGAATGCGCTCAGACCTCAGGTTCCAAAGTGCCCCCCTCCCTGCGGTGAGTGCTGGGCTGCTCAGGAGGTTTGAACTGCAAACATTCACTCTAAAATCCTTTAGTGCTCCACTGTGAATGGGTCAGTGAAGATTAATTAAAGGTTTGGGGTTTTGCCCAAAAATGAAAGGGAAGTCTGGAGGGTCGGTTCTTCTCAACCCACCCCCAACCAGCAGTTGGCACATCCAGGGAGGGGTTTTCTTTTGCACAGGAATCTCTGTGGGTTTTCCCATCTTATTGATCGCCCCAAGTGTTTTTCACCGTGCCCTTCCTGCCCTCTCGAGAATAAAAATAAATAAATAAACACGCAGAGATGATTTTTAAAGGAACTGAAAAGCTGGTGAGTGCTGAAGGGAGAGGGATAAGTGGCAGTTGTGAGATAAAACCAGGTCAGTTTTGAAGCCCCGAAATCCAGCTTCTCATAGTGAGAGAGTTTAAGAGCAGCAGTTGTGTCGGTGAAGTCTCGGATTTCCTTGCCAAAGGTGAGTGCAAATGATTCTCCATGTCTCTTGTTTCTGTTGATTTTCTGAATTTATTAGCCACAGCCTGTGACGACCTCACCCAGTTGTAGAAGCGCCTCCTGGGTTTGTCTCAGACTCTCCGGGGAGCCTGTTTTGGCCCGATCCCACCTCCTGCAATGTAGCTGAACGTGCTGTGTTCTCGTGCCTTCAACACCCGCCCACCACGAGCCAGTTGTGATCGTGCTTTTTATTTTTTTTTTATTTTTTTTTTTTTCTGTTGTTGTTGCCCTAGTCCTGGAAGATAACTAGGTTACTGTAGAGCAGATGGAATTCCATGCCGTTGTTCTCTGTTGATAACTCTTTTGGAATGAATTGCTGTCCCCAAATCAGCTTGGCTTTACAAATTTACCTGAAGATTGTTTGTTTTTTTGGTTTTTTTTTTCTTTTGTTTTGTTTTGTTTTGTTTTTTTTCTCCTGGATTTCAATACAATCTAGTTTTCAAAGTGGACTGATGGATACGGGTGGAGGGGTGGTCCTGGAAGACTACTGGTTTTCACAATAAAGTTTGACCTTTTTAATAACCAGTTTTGCCAGTGATTTGAGGATGTGATTCCAACAAGGTGTCCGTGGCCTCTGTAATTCCTTCACCTGTGGGTGAGGGGCAGGAGGCAGCTCAGGTGTGTTGCTCCAGAGAGGAGTCAGGGCTGGTTTTGGGAGCGGAGCAGGTCGTGTTCCTTGGGGAGCCACGTCCTCCCCTCTGTGGTGTCACCTGTGGTGTCACTCCCACGTGTGGCACTGCCTCAGGGGAGGGTCAGGGCTCTGCTCCCCTCTCCCACCTCCCAGACAGGCCCCTTTGTGCTCCCTCTGCCTCAGGGGCTGTGCCAGAGCAGTGAGAGCTGGGGGGGACCGGGGCCTGATGGAGCTTTGTTCTTGCCAGGAGGGGCTTGAAACAAGTCCTGATTGGAAACAAATCCTGATTTTTGGGGGGAAATAAGGGAGAGAGGGGCAGGGGGGAGAAGGAAGCAAAAGGTTTTTCTTATGCTCAGGCCACTCTGTGCAAATATTTGGGGGGTGAGATTGTTTTGGACTCTTGTGTTGGAAAGGTCGGGAAGCAGGGCTGGGGCTGGTGGGAGGAGACAGGAACGGGTGTCCTGCTCCCCGTGGGATGCTGTGGGAGCAGTGAGGAGCTGGGCTCTGTGTGGTTGGGCTTGGCTTTGTGTCTGTCTAATCCAACACGTCCTGGCCACGCTCCGGAGCCGGGCGGCTCCGCGTCCCTCCGGCTTTGGGGAGCGCGGGGCTGGCCTGTGGCTCCACGTGTGGCTCCACATCCGCCTTTTTATCCAGGAGCGGGAATTCCCTCCCCGGTGCCCCGGGTGTTTTAGGACAGCTGTTGCCGCGGGGCCTTTTGGGTGACGATGTTAATGAACACATTGCCCTGATCTCCCACCCAGGAGCCTTAAAACTCTCCCTCCGCCTCTTCCCGGCGCATCCCGGCGCGGGCGGCCCGGCGGGGATCGGTTTGGTTTGCTTGTGAAATGTCTTTGTGTGTGTGTGTGTTTGAAACGGTGTTTAAAAGGAGTCACCCTTCCACAGCGTGTCCTCCTGGCATTGTCCCTCCAGAGAAGAGACCCCCCGAGCCCCCCGGACCGCCGCCGCCTCCTCCCGTGCCCGAAGGGGATCTCTCCGGAGCAGCCCAGGAGTTGAATCCGGCCGTGACGGCTGCGCTGCTCCAGCTCCTTTCCCAGCAGGACACGGAGCTGCCCGGCCACGCCACGCAGGAGCCCCCGGCCCCGAGGGACTACGGCCGCTCCCACCCCTCCAGGACTTACAGCACCGACAGCTCCGAGGGGGGATTCGGGGCCGAGGAGCCGAACTCGGGCCAGACGCTTCTAGAACCTTCTGCCCAACCCCTGGGGAAAAGCAGGACCTTCTTGGGCTCCGTGAGCCACCTCGGGGAGACCAGCAACTACCAGGGCACGGGATCGGTGCAGTTCCCAGGGGACCAGGACCTGCGTTTCGCCAGAGTCCCCGTCGGCCTCCACTCGCTCGGGCAATCCTTCGGCAAATCCGAGGGGAGCAACAACGCGCTGGGACACCCCGAGGCCAAAATCCAGAGCTACGGCGAGTTGGGGCCGGGAACGGCCGGTTCCAGCGGGGCAGGGACAGGTCCCAGCTGGGGAGCCCCCACCCAGGCACCGTCTTCCTACGGGAAGGCGTTCCGAGGGCCTGGCAGAGTGCCTCCGAGGGGGGGCCGGGGCCGGGGGGTTCCCTACTGAGCATTCCCGGGGCCCCCCCTCCCTCCTTGCCTCTCCTCCTTCAGCCACAGGACTCGGTTTCCTTTGGTTCTTTGGCCAGAGCAAGGTCTCGTCCACATTTCAGCTGCTGCAGAGCCCCCCGTGCATCCCTCCCTCCTCCCTTCCCTCGGGATCCCGCCGGGGCCGGACCCTCCCGCGCTGGGTTAGTGACAAAAACAGTCCCAGGCTGAGCCAGGGGAGGGAGGGGGGGGGTTGATGGAAAAATAGGAATGAGAGGAAGAAGGAAGTGAAATAAAAAAAAAAAAAGCTGTTTCCCCGTGGTCAGGGAGGGCTGAGGGGAGGCTGCTTCCCAAAGCGATTATTTTTTTGTTTGTTGGTTTATTTTCCCAATTTCCTTAACAAAAAAAAAAAAAGGAAAAAAACAAATTAAAAGGGGAATATTTTGATGCAGAGGCACCTGGAGGGGTTATCCCAGCGGTGGGGGCCCGGGATGTGACACTGGTTGTGCTCAGTTTATCCAATGTTGTTTTCTTTCCATAAGGCCTCTGGTTTTCCCTCTGCTCCGGGGCCAGATCCTGCCCCCTGTGACAGCAGCCTTAGTACACTGATTTTTTTGGGAAGGATCTCTGAGGGTTGGATCCCTCCTGCTGTAACTTTGCAGTGGGAATTGTCTTATTTTTCCTGTTTTTTTTTTTTTTTTAAGAGCCGAGGCGAACACCTCCCTGAAAAAAATGGGGATTTCTGTCGCTTGTAACTTCCAGAACACTGAAAGAATTAAAAAAAAGGAGACAAAAATCTTAACTCCTGGTGGGATTTGCCACCAGATGGGAGTGATTTGCCCCCGGAATCCCGGGCTGGTGCTGCCCACCCTGCCAAGGTTGGTCACGTCTCAGCCCTGTGAGGTTTTTCCAGGTGTTCCTGTATCATTTCTATCAGCATATTTCTATTTTTGTTGTTGTCAAGGAAGTATTTACGATGAGTTTTCTCCTCCAGCGGACCCTTGCGCTGTTCATTTCAATGAGACTTAAAAAAAGAGATGAATAAAACAAAGGTACCTATTTATCAGCTTTTTTTTTTGTTTCTGAGTAGGCCTTTCCTATGGAAAACATTGAATTTTAGAGCCGACAGTTCTGGAGTGTTAAAGGAGGAGGGGGGAACCCGGGGGGGGGGGCCTTGCTACTAACAGGATTTAATTTCTTTTTATACAGAGAGAGAGAAATTTAAATAAATGCACCTCAGTAGGTGATGCTTCTCCACCTGGGGGAATCCTGCCTTACCCAGCTCTGCCGTGGGAGGAAGGAGGGGAGAGAAAAGTCAATGGAAATGGATATATTTTGGTTTTATTTGCCTGGGCTGAGGAGCTGAAGTGCTGAATCCCCACTGTCAATCTGTGGGGATTTTTTTGGTGGTTTTTTTTGTGGTTTTTGTTTTTTTTAATTGTTGGTTCACCCTGATGTGCAGAGAGGAAAAAAAGAGTTCTGTGAGACACACAGTGCACTGAACCCACCGGGCACCTCTCAAGGGGGGGAATTTCCCTGTTTTCCCCTCCCCTGGCTCCTGCCAGCTCTTGGTGCTGTGGAGCTGCTGCTGCTTTTGTTGTTCCTTCCCAATCCCATCCAATTTGGAAGGAGAAGTCGTGCTCCTGTGCCCGAACCCTCTTGGGGAGTGGAGGCCTATTTATTGTCTTTCCAAATTGGCACATTCCCAGGAAAAGCTGCTGGGAATGAGCCCCCTCCTCGGTGCCAGTGTCATCCTGGCCTTGGGGTCCCAGTTTAGGGGTCACTGGTCCCAGTTTAGGGCTCACTGGTCCCAGTTCTGGGTGTTTGTGTCAGTGTAGGGGTGGTTGGTGCCAGTTCAGGGTGGTCTCTCCCAGCTGGGAGAGCTGTGTCCCCCCTCCCCATGGGGACACTGCTCCCTGTTCCAGCAGGGGCTGGGAAGGGGCTGGGGGGGCTCCTTTTCCCTTCCCACCCCCAGCCAGGGACAGACATTCCAGGTGTCTGTTCCCTGCGTTTGCCCTCTGTCCCCACGGGGCTCTGGGCTCCTGCAGGAGCTGGTTCCACCATTCCCTTCTCCAAACCCCCTGAACCCCCCAGGAGGACACACAATTCCGGCTCCACTGGCCTTTCCTAACTGGTCCCAGCAGGAGCCTTTCACTCCCTGCCAGGGCACAGGAGCAGGGGAGGCTGGGGGTGTCCAGCCTGGCCAGGTCACGGGGGCTGTGGGGCCACTCCTGTCCCCCACCACCTCTTTTTCTTTTATTTTTCCCCCTATTTTTAATTTTTACCTTTTTTTTTCTTTTTTTTCCCCAAACGCTCTGCACAAAGAAGACAAAAGGATTTTCTGGTTTTGGAGGGGGATTTTTTGCATTTAAAAGGATTTAAGCCTCGGTGCAGGTTACAGAAATGGGGGGGTGGGGTGGCAGCTCCCTCCTCCTTCCCCCCATCCCGGTTTTGGGGTCAGTCCGACATCTCTCCCACTGTAGCAATTCCCAGCAGAGAAGCCTCTGGTCACACTCTGACTGTACCTCTCCCGAGTTTCCTTTGGAGACCGAGCGCGCCTTTTTTCGGTTGTACCTTTGTCTCTGTACAGATATTTTGTAATATATTAAAATCTTTTTTCTTTTCAGTTTATAAAAATGGAGAAGTGGAGATTGGAAAATTAAATATTTCCTGTTACTGTATCTCTCCTTGGTTGCCTTTTGCTCCGTTGCTTCCCCCCCTGTAGCCTTTGGAGTCGCACGGTAACTGTGTTTTCCTTGGGGAAAAAAAAAAAAAAAGCCTTTTCTTCCCGGTTCCTGCCCTCCTGGGGAGGGTGGTGGCATTTGGCATTGCTGGCCCCTGTCAGCCCCCAAATTCCACTCTGCTAATTAAGATCCAAGCCCTCGTTAGCCCCGGGGTCTCATCCCACTCGGAGGGGTGTTGTGGGTGATGCCCGAGCTGGAGCAGGGGATGGTTTGGTTCAGGTGGGAGTAAAGAAGGAGGAAACCTGGAGCTGAGGGGAAGGTGGGAGAGGGAAGGATTGAGGTTAAGGTTTGCCTCCCAGCCTTCTCCCAGCTCCTGGCAGCCCCTTGGGCACTGGAGAGGAGCCAGGGGTGCCCGGAGGGGATGGATTCTGCTCCATCCCTGAGCCATGAGGGCCCACACATGGAGCTGTGGCCGTGTCCTCCATCCCTCCATCTCTCCCTCCCTCTCCTTCCTCCGCAGAAATCCCTCCCTGCTCTTTCTCTGTGCTGGTCCCAGCCCCAGCCTGGCTCCCGGAGGGGGTTTTGCCCCAGTCCTCCCGCCCTGGACAGGAATTTGGGATGGCAGGAGCCCCGTGGGCAGGCGCTGCTCTGTGTCCCCAGCATCGGCTCCTTCCCGCTCGGCTGAGGGCGGGTGGTGGGAGGGCAGAGAGAGCTCAGGGGGTGCAGGGGGTGCTGAGGGCTCGGTCCATCCCCCCATTATCCCCCCCCCGTGCCTCCCTCCCCAGCCGAGCCCGGCCCTCGCCCCGCGTTCCAGCCCCGGCTTTCTTGCTCTCCTTTCGCCTGGTTTAACATCCCCGCGCTGACACGTCTTAAAATATATCCCTGTGCAGATGGTGGGGGGGTGGCGGCGCCGGGTGCTTCCCTGCGCTGGGGGAGCGGCAGCCAGAGCCCCCCAGCACCCAGCCGGCCTCCCCTGATTTATGGAGCGGGGCAGCTGGGCCCCGTGCACTCGGATGGATCCCTAATCCAGCCTCCCGGCCCCTGCCCGCGGCTCCCGGGCTGCTCCGGCGTGGCAGAAGGGACACGGGGCCATCCCGGGCTCCCTCCCATCCCACCTTCCCGCAGACAAAGCCCCGCGCGGCCGCGGCTCCTGCGGCATCCCGATCCAAGGGTGCCCAGGCCGTTTTATCCCGTTTAATTTATTTTGGCATTGAAGTTCCCCGGCAGCAGCTGCCGTGCCAAATGGCCGGGGGGGGCTGCGCGGAGCCGGCGCCGTAAATCTCCGCCGTTCGGCTCTTCCCGCTTGGATTCTGCTCGCTGGAGCCGCGGCGGCTCCATCCCGACATTCCCGGCTGCTCCAGAGCCGCGAAACTGTGGGATCTGACACGGCTTTCATTCCTCCACCACCCCGCTCTCCTCCCGGTCCCGGCGCTGGGGTTTGTGGCGGTGGCTCCATCCAGCTCCACGTGTCCCCACGGGCAGCGGCTTCCGGAGCATCCCGGTGCTCCAGGCGTCACCCTCGGAGCTCCTGGAATGCTGCTGGAGTCAGGAAGGGGCCTTCCCGGGGAGCAGATCAACCGTGGGACGTCCAGATCCCATCGGAATCTCCGCCCGGAGCAGGCGCCGCACCTCGTGGATGGGTGTGTTGGCACACACACACACGCACACGCGTGTTCGTGGGGCACATGCACACATGTACAGGGGGTACACACACACACGGGGCATGTGCACACGCGTGTTCACG